AAATAGTAAGTGCACTAGTTGGAATATGCACCAAAATTACGCCAAGCTGAGGTCAAGCATACTAAACGTAGTCTATCAGATGTGACCAGTAAACAAGATGGCCAATTACATGAGGGTTCTGGGATTAGGCCTATATGTAAGCGGGTGTTTGACATTACTCTTAGACGAGACAGGTTTAAAGTTCATCTAGCATCCAGCAAAAGAGGATTACCCTTCCACCAGCAGGTGTACTATGTCACAGTTCCTAGGCTAAGTCATTGTTGTGAACCTCGATGTAATGTTCTGTCTTGGACCCAAGCTAAGAATGGACCACGCTAAATCATAAAAACAGTAGGTTTGCTAGCTTTAGCATTTCTAAGAGAAAACTAATCTAGACTGACCACAAGCACTGGGTTTTTTCCTCCCATTCACCACTTTCCACAAAGAGTGTTGAAAGTTCATCTGTACTGTTGATACATATCAGTAATAAAAGACCATTCAAATGATACTGTTGTAAAATTACAGCATGTACAATTAGACCAATACCAGGAACTGTAATAGGTATGATTAAGAGATGGACATGGCCACAGATTTGCATATGGTGTCAGTTTCTTCAGTTTCTCAGATTATGACTAAGCATAGACCAAAAAGAATTTATCACTGGTAATTTAATCCTAGCCTACACTTAATCCATTCATGTTTTAGAATTTTGCTTAATCACATCTGTGAAACACGCTAAACTGAATCTTAGCTTTAAGTTAGTGAGAGAAAAGCTTATCACTGGCATGTTTTATGGTTATATAGCTCTATGCTCGGAGACAACCGTTGGACAGTTAGACAATAGCTTTTTGAACTCCTGCACAGTGTATTCAACAAAGATCAAAGCAAGTGATATCTACATAACTTTCTGACAAAGGGAACATCCAACAAGAGCCACCCAGAACCCCTTAATTTTAAAAGGCAGTGCAAATGAAAATGAACTACAACTGGAAAAAAGTAATGTTATCATTTATGTCTGATTATAATGTCTAATCATTTTCAAAATATAAATCAGAACATTGTCTCAAACAAGCACAGTAATTACATCAAAAGCAAAAATAACTAATTGATGTAGTGGGCGACCACTACTACTGTGCTCCATCTAATGCTATAGAATGATGACTGTCTGTCAGGTGAGTAAGGACTGGGCACAGATGGTTGCCCTCAAGGTTTGTACTGTCTACTTTTATGCTTGAACACAGACTTACTATTTCATAATGGATTTCTGTCTGAATCTATTGAAAAACATATGTAGGCCAAATCAAAATTCACATCTTGGTTGTCTAGAGAATCTTTGATTAAGGACAGATTTTGTTTTGCTTACAGACTACACTAATAAGGTATGCTTCATAATGAAGCAGTAGATAGCAATGTTCTAAAGAGTTCCACACCAAAGCCATACTCATTCAAAACCCCTTTAACTCAAAGGAACCATGGACAATTCCGGACAATTTTCATTACTTACTCTACATAACTTGTATATTAGTATCAAAGTATTTACCACATAATTTATAGTAGTTACTTAGTATGAAGCCTTAAAAACCATCGAATAAGTCAGAAGTTTAAAGGGTTAAACTATTCTCCTATTTTACTATAAACATAGCCTGCACTAATGTTTTGTCTGTAAGTGAAAATAAGTTAACATAACGTAATATGACGTGGGAACTCAAACTTTTGTATACGGCTGCAAATCTTTTGCAGAGTGTTTCATGCGGTTTTGAAAGGTACATACAAGATACATAAAAACTAAATAAATAGTAAACAGCCTTTCTGCAAATGTGCTTTCTGTCTGAGTAGCGTTTACAATACTTACAATAATTACCATCATGATCCTGAATTTTATCAGCACCACCCAGCACAACTATCACATTAACACCTAAAGGGTCAGTCACTAATTTAAACAGCCTAAGACACGTCCGACGGCTCATGGTGGCTTTGTGTTGTAGTCCATGGAGTCACATATGGGTTACTTATGCTTAACCAAACAAATCCTGTAAGCATCTCCTAATCCAAACTGAGGTGAGATATCCACCAGGGTTCAGCTAGGTTTCATGAAAAGAGCTTCATGATCTTTAGGAACTGGAAAACAACCTGAGCGGTCAGTGATGGCAACAGTAAAGCGGTTACCAATGGAGACAGCCTGGGGTCAAAGGGCAGGAGGGAGTTTCCTGTAACACATATGAAGCCTCCTGCCCTCCACCCCCCTTCCCCCTTTTATTTCCTGCTCCCTCCACAGCTAGGGGAGTTGGAAAATACATTGTGATATGTAGAGTAGTCTAACAGGATGCAGAGCCCACTTTCAACGCTACTTGCTTAGTTAGCACCATTTTTAAAGCTTTCCAACTTAGCAAACGCAGAATGAAAGATTTGTGGCGATGTAAATTATAATACATTACATTTCAGCAGCTGGACTCAAATGTTGGCAGCTGTCAGAGCTGATCCAGAAAAATACCCTAATCTTAGCATAAGCATGATCTGTCAATGCAGCTACACGACTTTGCTTTTAGACTACGCAGAGACACGTCAGTACAACTCAAATTAAAACTTACATTAAAAACAAAGATAATTTAACAACGCAACACTGTAAACGTAGTTCTTTTAAGACTTCTCGCACTGCAGCAGGCCATTTACAAGCACAACACCTCTGCTTTCTTACTGAAGCCAACATTAGAGCAGATATTCCTAAAAGACCTGTGATTATCCGTTAGTCAGGCGCCAGAACCACGTCTGACTTCTGAGTACTAACTGTCCCAGAGCTTATTATAGCGCGTATGGAAGCAGTCTGGTTCCGCTAACTACTCAATGAGTAACATCCTATTCCAGCCCACGTAAACTCTCGGAGCCATCATCTTTTTAGGTAAGCGCTGTAAATAATGCAGCAAGCAGCTTCCAGTAATGAAACTGTTCTGACAGACACGCCTGCTTCAGCATTTATCCCAGCTGGCCACTCAGTTACTTAGCATAACACAAACCTTATTTTATAAAGGCATTCACAAGTCGACAAAGTAAGTATGCTGTGTAGACAAACCTAACTGTACACCCTACGAGTATATGCAGTAATCACAATGCTAGCTCCCGTTACAGTATCATTCAATGCTCGCACAGCCAGCAGCTTAAGCCACAGGAGCGTTAGCTAGCCAGCGAACTCTTAAGTTAGGCTACAAGGAACAGACGGATAAGCACATTTAAATGTAACTTACTCCTAGTGCGTCCCCCAGCAGACAGCGTGCGGATGTGCGCTTCTATGCGATAAAAAGGCTGAAGTTCCCGCTGAGAGGTCTCCGGCTCTGCCCGAGCTCTCCTCTTGGTGCTCCGGCTTTGGACTGAAGTGCAGAGAAGTGACGGTGACGTCAGCGGTAACCGAGCGGCTCCTGCAGCTGTCGCCTGAACTGACAACTCCACAGCAAAGGATATGAAAATACATCTATTCACAATAGCTGTGGGTGAGATCACTAGGGATCACTCAGTAGCCTAAAAGCTTACAAAGTAAAGCATACTTATCAGCATTTTTCCAACTACTGCGTACAGGCTCACTGAGTTCATTAAATAAGTAGTTGTGTTGGTAACAGTACACCGTTAGAGTTAATTAACTATTATGTCCTGACCCACTGACTCCAAAAGCCCTAGTTTCAGGGACCTGACTAAAGCTGGATTCGGAATAACCATGGTTACTGGACAAATGCAAATTTGAGATTTATCAATTTTTTAAGAGGCTTGCAATTTAAAACTTTTAGAAGTATTCCTGAAGTAGAAACCCTACACCCCATTGAAAGCCAACTCTGTTTGTAAATCTAATTAGGACACCTGACACATGCCTCTATTTTCAGTTGTATCAGGTTACTCAGTAAAAGGTAGTATGACTAAAATTGTCACTAAAATGTTTACATTGTACCTTGTTTTTTCCATGATAGAATGTTCCCCCCTCCATCTGTAGTCTGTGCCAACACAAATGCATTTGTGTCAGGTTACCATTATGAAATTTCCACTTTAAAACAGAATGGTAAAAATCTGTGTTGAGAACATGAGGTTTACCATTTCATTAGTTTATTACATATTGCATAACCCATCTTGTAAATGAAAATTATCAGCATACAAGTTCATTGTCAAGCACTGTTTTTACATTACATGATAGCTGATTTAACACCTCAGATTCTAAATAATCTTAAACAATATTTAACTCTACAGAAAGCTGATACCTTTCCCCTTAAGCTTTCCTAAGCCAACATGGTTCAAATAAGTGCACCATAGTCCATACAACACCAACATAAGAGTAAGACATGGGTAAAGAAGGATACTTTTTCTTGAGGCTAAATGAAAATTTCTAGTCTTCATCATACAAAGCAGATTTTCCCCAAGAATTGCACCTATAAAATCAAAGACGGAGAAAATTACTTTCAGATAACAAGTGCTATTCCTAAATTGCCAGGTTTCGTGTGTGAAGAAACTAAAGTATTATTAATTGTTGCACATAAGCCTTAATGACATTCATAATTCATCACATCACAGCAGATGTCAAATGCTTGGCTTGAGACATGTCCCAGAGGTTGAGGACTATTATTAATGCCTCCAGTAATTTCGTATCTGACCACAAAGGATACTAAAAGAACAAGTACATTTTTGTACGTGTTTTTGCAACAGTTGATCCAAAAAATTTCCATTATTGGAGTACCAAATTTGGCCTCCTAGTTACAGCGATTCCTGATTGAGGCACTAAGCTTAAGTTACAGCACATTCCATATGTTGGTCTACTTAAAGAGCAGATGGGCAATTCTACAGAGCCCTGGACTAATAATTGATTAAAGACCTACTCAGTAAGTGCATGCTGCACTTTGTTTTATTATCTCCTAGGCATTCTTGTGAAATATAAGAAAGAAAACAATGGATTATGCACAATGGGAATGGGAGCCTTAACAATTTAATATATTCAAAAATTTAATACATATTTAAAAAAAACCCTCAAAATTGTTGTCAAAAAGAAATACAAAAAGCAAGAATCTGTTAATATTTGTCAATTGATCAATTTTTAATGAGCAGGACTAAGCCCCCGAAATACACAGAAGGTTGCAATAACAGTAAATAACCTGTAGGGGCAATCAATCTCCCAAATCGAGCTGCTGCTGCTGTTGAAGGTGGAGTCTAAAAATCAGCTTTTTGATTTTCTCCCGCTTTTTCTTCACCAGCTTCTGAGGAAACCAGTCACTCAGATCCACGACACTGTGTAAAATCTGTGGTGGGCTCTGGAAATAACAGTACAAAAACTCCATAAAATTCAAGCAGACTTGATGCATTCAAACTAAAGCACAGTCAAAACTATAGCATTATTCATTCAAGACCAATTTTAATGACAGTCTGCAGACGACAGATAGCAACTGAGTTGCTCTCACCAGTTTTCCCCACATGAGCAAAGCCTTAAGACATGCATTTCAGACTTACCATGAGAAAGCTCTCTACACACTGCAGAAGGTAAACCCCACAGTCAGTGTGATTATCCTGCTGTGGGACCTGTACACTCCATCCATTCATGGCTCCTTTCGTAAAACTCTGCCAGGAGCCCTTTTTCATCCACCACTCCATCTCCAGGTATCTTTTATTCATAATATGTAGATAGACAAAATTAATACAAAAGATGCTAAATGACTTCAATGAAACGTGCAAGTTACCAGCTATATTGGCAGGTCAAGACTTACTCTTGCAGTATTTTCACCACTGTTGGCCTGGAACGGCAACTAAGTGAGTCCATAATGAGGATGCAAGGCCTACAAAACAGTGAAGAACAATGAACAAGGGAGGTGAAATTCTACTGTGCTTGTACATAACAAATCAAGAAGCAGCATATGCCTTTAGTCGATAGGACTCAAAATTTAAATGTTCATTACAGACTTGCCAAACATGCTTACTGTTTAGAAGCAGTATTGAAGACATTTCCACTAGTGGTACAATCATCCTAAGAAAGGTACATGATAAAAGGTACTTGTGTTATTTTACAATTTGCTAAACTCTTATCAGCTCACAAATCAAAACAAAAAGATATTACCTGAATTTCATCCTCCATATCATCATCTGAAATCAAGCAGAACCCCATGTCCAGCTCACCTATAAAACAAACATCTTACAGAAAGACTGGACAGCAAGGTGCAGTAGTTGAACTCAACCTTAGCTCAGACTGATGTCTCTTAGCAACAATACTTTCCGACCGTTTCAGTACCAGTCTAAACAAGCCCTCGAAAATCTCTGAGGCCATCTTGAGGACTGTTCCATTACTTTATTAGCTCAAGTTTACTGAATGAACCCTCAGAGAGGCTGCCTTCAGCAGCAGAGTTTGCCCCAGAAATTACTGCAATGCAACATATTTCCCTTTTCAATACCAAACAAAAAATGTTTCATATGCAAAGAGCCATAAAATACTTCGAAAGACCCAATATCTCAAACCCATATAACATTCAATTTGCCAGGCTTTACATTGCAAAGTACAAGGGATGCAGCTGTTTAACATGACTGCTGATACAACTTCCTCGCTGTTAGTTAGCGTGCTAGTTAGCAAGCTAAAGGCTACACAGCTACCAACAGTAATAATAAAGGCATTACACCACACTCCTAAATCAAAGCTTATAGCCAGGCAAAGCAATTATTCACAAATTCAAAACTTTTGCATTACTACAGCTGATTAGCACACTGAGGCTAATATAGCTGAGGGCGAGCAAGTTAAATTTGAAAATCCACTTCTCACTGTCCCCTCCTCCACTCCTGCAGGGAGTGGCCACTTAGGTAAAGTTAGGTGTGGCGCACTTGCGAGTGGCAAGTCGAAGCTGGCGAGGGCAAAAGTTATCCTTAGAGGAAGTTAGAGTCACAATAAGCAAGTCTCTGTTTTAACACAGTGAGCACCATACTCTCCCACTTTCTCCTGTTCGGTTCAACCCTGCATATACTCTCCTCCTGCATACACACTACACCAATAAAATACACACTAAAATTCTTGAAGGTCAGATTATGAGACAATGTTAAATCTTTGCTTTTTTGCAATCCATATAAAATTACAACCCTTTTTTTTTTTAATTACCTATGGACGTACATCTTCTGTAGCGCTGCTCAAACGCTGTCTGTCTGTAAAAGAGCGACATGGGGTTTTGGAGAGAGGGGCTGGGAGTATAATTTGTGCTCTCCACGTTCTCCAAAGGATCCATGCCAGAGCACTGTAAAACTTGGCCCGGGAAACAGATGACAGCCAAGTACCAGTGAGCCCTGAGGGGGGAAAAGAAAAACTTTTACCCTTTACGCTGACATAGTAGAAATTAGCCCAGTGGTCATCAACCTGTCTACTAGAAAAGTGATTCTCACCTCCAGTCCTAGGGACCCTCTGTCCTTCACAGTTGGATGCATTCCTTGCACCAACACACCTCATCCAACTTAAAAGGCATGATTATCATCTAGGTAGAGAATATCTGAAAGTGTGCAGGTCAGTGGGACCCCAGGACTGGAGCAAAGGATCACTGTCCTAGAGACCACCTTCATGCAAAGTTTAGTTCTGACCCAAACATCCATGCCTGATCAGAACAATCTTTTTGTTTTTTGTTTTTTTTTGTTTTTTTTTACAGAACACTGATAAACTGGATGAGGTTTTGTTTGACCAGAAAAGTACATCTCCTGACAAAGTATATATCTTGATTAAGTTTCAGCTTCACAAAACCTAGCAAACTTAACCATAGTCAACTCACTGTACAATGGCAGTTAATAATTTTCTCTGTTTAGGTATAAAAGCTATGATTAATCCACAACTTCATGTACATGAAAACATGACATTTATGACAGTCAGTTGTGTGAAACATGAGTTGGGTAGCTTATTTGTGAAATATGGAAAAAATTAAATTTAAAATAAATTCATTCTACATGGATATGTTGAAAAGTAACACCTTTATAGTGGTAAAAAGCAACAGTCATCACTTCCACTGCACTGATTGGAGTTACTTTATATTCTTTATATCTACAATCATGTAAAGTAGTAAGTATACCCTTTGAAAAGCTTAGACTTTTTCAACATATTTGTAGATAGAGATATCAAGTCTTCAATTACACAGTGTTTTATAATATCACCATTTCAAACATGTCTAACCGAAATCAGGTGCAGCTGATCAGGTGCCAATGATTAGAACACCTTTAGAGAATATCTTGGAGGAAGCAGTCTTATTTAAAGTCATATCTGGTCTGGTTTGCTCTCTGTTATTGGAGGTTCAAAAGAACTCGCTGAGGCCTTCAGAAACAAGGTTGTAGATGTCTATGACGGAAGGGGTTTAAGAAGTTTTTCCAAAAGGAAACAATTCTCTTTGACAGGTTCAGAAATACTGGAAATCACTCTCCCACTGTTTGGAAAATCATCTCCAAGTGAAGATTTACAACTACTGCCAACTTCTTCAGGTCAGGCCAAACTTAACCTGAGAGCAGACTGGAAGAAGCTTAAAGAAGTCTTCAAGATCCCCAAAATTTCATCACAGGACCTGCAGGAAGCCCTTGCCACTGTTAATGTGAAAGTACATGCCATGTAGATACCATCAGAAAAAGACTAAACGAATTTGACCTACATGGGAGGTGTGCCAAGAAGAAGCCTTTGTGGCCTAAAAAGAATATCAGGGCTGAAGTTTGCTAATGAATATCTAAGCAAGAACCAGGACCTCTGGAACACTGTGCTATGGAAAGACAAGTCAAAGATACAGTGGTTTGGCTACAGTACCAGAAGCCATGTTTGGCAAAAGCCAAAGACAGCACTTCATCAGAACTTCATGCCAACCTTAGAGCACAACGGTAGAAATGTAATGGTTTGGGGCTGCTTTACTGGCTCAGGGCCTGGCCAACTTGCAGTCACAGAATCAACTACAAATTCTTTTTCACACCACAGAGTGCTTGAGGAGAATGTGAGACCATCTGTAAAAAAGCTGAAGCTGAAGTGGACCTTCCAACAGGATAAGGTCCCAAACACACAAGTAAATTCACAGAGGAATGGCTCAAAAAAAAAGAAATGGAGAGTTATGGAAAGGCCCAGATCTGAATCCCATTGAAGTGCTGTGGGGTGATTTGAAACAGGCTGTACATGCAAGAAACCCCTCAAACAGTTAACATTGCTCTGCATGGAGGAATGAGCAAAAAATTCTTCCAGCTGACGTCAGAAACTGGTAGACAGTTACAGAAAACACCTACATAAAGTTGTTTCAGCCAAAAGGAGCAGTACCAGTTACTTTAACAGACAAAAATGACAGTTTTTTTTTTTAAATAAATGATTGCAAAGTCAAATTTCCATTGTTTTTTGTTCTATTGCATGATGTTTATCTATACATACTACTTAACTGAAGATTAAATGTCCACATATTTCAAAAGAGAAACATTTCATGAAATGTAGTTGCTTCTTTACATGACTATGCAGTACCATTTGGTTTCTCTGCTGACAACTGAATTTTTTTCCTTGATTGAGGCCAAAAGCATTAGAAAGAAAAAAAAGGTGACCCAGAAATGACCGCAGGGGTCTACTTTCAGCTCAGCCCTGACTGGTCCAAGAGCTGTTTATGATCCAAACCTTACCTGCCCTGGAGCAAGTTAGGCATGCTAAGCAAAAATCCTGCTACGTAAAATAGACCACCGGTGACCCACTGAACTAAAAGGACATTTAAAATTAAGCAAATAATGAATGGTGGGGGGAAATTTAAACGTAAAATTAAACTCACGACTCATTTATTGGGACAAAAATGAAATCCTTCTCAAAAAGATCCAGATGCCTGGTCCATGTCTTCACCCGGTTATGCCTCCTCTCTTGAATGCTGTTGGGAGGTTGGCTAACAAAGATTTGGAGAATAAGTAGACAGCTCAAAGAAATTCTAGTCAAGTTCACGCTCCATACTTACAATACACCTGTGATGTCTAGATGATCTTTCTGTGTGAGAGACTTATAGAAAAAAGAGCTGAACACATGACACCTATTGGTGTCCTCTTTCTGTAACTTCTCACAGACTAAATACCTAAAAATACAAACAAAACGCAATATTAGTGGTGTCAGAAACTGGAAAATGTCAATTTCACAATTTTAAATTGTGCTCGAACAGCCGACAAACTGGTAAACTCTGGATTTTACATGATGCACAAGTTTACAAGACGTGACATAATGCAACCTTTCACACTTTGCACAATTGAAAAATGCTAAAACAACAACAAAAAAAAATGTATTTACCAGTTAACCATCATGAATATAGATCCTCTGATGAGCACTGAAATCCAGCATTATAAATGTGCAAAAGAGTTGCCACTTACTTCAAATAGAAGTCCACAATCACATCATTCAGGAATTCTCCCTCATCGAGGCAACATAGATCTTCGTCAGTAATGGAAAATCCTCCTTTGGCTGGAGGTGGTGGATATACAACCAGTCTGGAAAACAACAGTTACTCTATACAGTAATAACCAGCAACAAAACAAAGTCACAATATTAGCTGAAACCCACAGACTTTTTGACAGGTTGAGTCCACAATGAGGGGCACACCATCACATCATTGTCAGCATTATCATCTTCACTGTCCAACACATCAAGCGTTGCCATTTCACTCTGAGAATTAATGAAAAAAAGAATCTGCTGATCTGCTGAATTCCAGACACAGAACAAACAAGGATTTAAAAAGATTTGTGCTAATGAAAAAACAAACAAAAAAGACTATAGTTAATTTACTGGTCTAAATCAATTGCACAAACATCAACTGACTTTTTTTTAAAACTATTATTGTTATTACTATTATTATCATTATGAACATCTATAATTGTGAGGATAACCTTGGGAGTAAAAGGACTTGGAGGAAGCTCATCCACCTCATCCTCCAGCAGTACAGCCTGCACACAGAGAATTTAAAAAAATTAAAGTACAATTAACACAGTAACACACCAGAAGCAAAATAATTACACCTATTTGATCACAAAACAACAGCTACATTCTGCAAGGCTTATATTATCATTGTAACCTACCTCATTTTTGTGTGACTGTTCATAAGCTGTTAGTCTGTCATTTGCTTCCTCAAATGTCAGCATGGCTGGAAAGTTGCTCATGTAATTAAGTCGGCCTATCTCAGCAAATATCTCTTCTAATGTGGTCTTTTCCAACATTGTTGGCTCACTCTCAAAGACGATGATAATGTATTTTTCTTTTTGACCTGAGATAGAAAAACAGACATAATTATGATTCATCATTCATGAATCATGGATTCATAAATGATACCCACATTTCCATGACTAAGGAGGAACTGCTACATTAATATTCATGTCTACAAATTTTATCATATGCCACATGACCAAAAGTACATGTACACCTGAACATCACAACCATTTGTGTGCTTTTTGAATGCACAAGCATTAATATGGAGCTGCTGCTATAATAGCATTCCAGTAGATTTTGGAAAAGGGTGCAGGGATCCACTTCTGATACAGTGGAGCAGTAACGCCTGGTTCACAGTTGTCATTTAACCCCATCCCAAAGGTGCTCAACGGGTTTGGAGTCAGGCTTCTGTGCAGGCCAGTCCGGCTCACAATTTCTTCATGAGCCTCACTTTGTGCTCAGGGGCACAATCAAGCTGAAACAAGAAAGAAGCTTTCCCAGACTGTTGCCATAAGTTTAAAGCACACAATTCTCTGCAACGTTATTATATGCTGTAACATTAAGATTGCCCTTTACTAGAACTAAAAGGACTAGCTCAAACCCTGAAAAACAGCCCCATACCATTATCCCTCCTCTACTAAACTTTTCAATTGGCACTATGCATGCAGGCAGGTAAGCATTTTCATCTATCAGACTGCCAGGTGGTGATTCATCACTCTAGAGAACAAGCGTCTAACAGCAGTGTGCTTTACACTACTCCATGTGTGTCCATATACTTTTGGCCATGAAGCATAGGCATTACAAGGCTTACACTTTATGGGCCTCATTCACCAATATCTTCCTAGGTTTTTTTATTTAATTTGTTCTCGAGAAAGGTCCAAAGAAAATGTCATGACAAACAGCAGATTCATGACATACTCCTAAACCACAGAATTGTCTGCACTTTCGTGCAGTTGAATGGGCATAGATTCTGTTCTTGCCTAAGAACTAAACCAAAATAGGAAAACATTGGTGCATGTCAGAACCTTCATTAAAACTGCAGAAGTGGGTTTTAAGAAGAAATTTCTTCTTAAGAACAGTTGGTGACTGAGGCCCTATGTATGAACTCAATAGCACCCTAAAATTCTGATACAGCAGTATCACTACAGTCTTACTCTGGCAGTTGCTCCAACTTCTTGCATCTGTGGACATACTAAGGCTGTCTTTCAGACGATGGCATTCTGCAGCAGTAGTCTGCAGAAACAAAGCCGGTAGTCTATGTGCCGTACACCACTCACACCTGATGAGCTCGGATGCTGCAATTCGAACTTTTTTGACAAGGAATGACAAAGATCAGACACTTCACACAAAGCACTGAAGTGATGTTAAAGAATGAGAACACAGAGTATGATCAAGAATATGAAACTGAATTTACAAAGAAAGTCAACACGATTTCCATCTAAAGCCATTAAACTGACAAGATAGCTTAAGGGGAAAATGTATTGGTGACCAAATGCCCAACAAATTTAAATGCCACTCTAAGGTCCTTTCCTTAAAAGTAGGTATGTGGATATCCACATTACACCTTTCATACTCTGCCTCTTACCTTTGTCTGGAACTTCGATGTAATCCACTGAAATCTGTAATGGAAACACACACATTTAAACTTATTTTTGGTTATTTATTCATACGATTCAAACTGTCAGTCTTAACAGTCTTCAGGAAAATCTTAAAAAGGAATTTCTGATTTTTCTAACTGTCAAAATGTAAAGTCATACAGCGGTTTGGTGTGCAATGCTCCACTCTAGAGAAACTTGCCAAGTGCCTGTTTTCAAATGGTGGTGATAAGAACCTGACCAATCCAAAGAGTTTAATGTCTCTAAAAACTACTTCACAGAAAGTTATTACATCAAATGGTTACAAATATGCTATTTGATAGCTCAGGCATTATTTTCCAATAGTTCTGAGATATTTTTAAAAGAAATCCTTCGCAGAAGAGGTACATGCAGGATGCTGTATTATTCCACATTTACCGCTAATTTCTGTTATCTATATTTTTTCCTGCAAAGCTGCTTTGGGACAATGCCTATTGCAAAAAGTGCTATATAAATTAACTTTGACTTGACTTTAAAAAAACTCAGTAGACATGTGTGGGTCCACTGGTCATTTCAGTAGCTATTAAAATGTCTGCACTGAAGATATCTCAACACCTGGTTTCTATCACCACCACTGTAAAGAAATTCAAGTCAGCAAGTTTCTCTATAATGAACCTTTTTTAGCGGATTCACCCTTTAAAACCTGATCAATATGTTCGGCAGAAAAAAAAAGCAATAAAAACTCACAGTGATGGGTCCTCTGAAATTCAGGTTCAGTGTTCCAAATTTAAGACTTCTGATGTTGAGGGTAACTCTGCTAAACCCTTCCATGACATTCCACTTAAAGGAAGGTAATCTTGCCATGGACGTTGGCAACCTTGTTTTGCGTTTATTTGGGACAATGTCTCCAAACTGGAAAAGAACACACATATTCAACACAATTTCTGATAGATGAGGCAATGCAAGTCATATCTGGCTTGTTGTCTTAACACTCAAGGCAACATCTGGCCAGGGCTTTCTGAAACCATTTTGAGTTCATTTTTATGTTTATTAGTACCTGGTCTCTCATGCGATGCTTTCGGGGAAGTTTGACAACATACTGCATATCCGTGCAGCATGTCAGTTCTTCTGAGTTAGCACTGTCGTGGCTAACAACTGAACCTGTTAAAATATTTATCAAAGACCATGTTGTATTGGAATATTTTGGTTGAGGCAAAAAAAAAAAACCCTTCAGGTATTGTTACCTCTACCCAAACGCTTGCTAAATAGGCCTATATTTTTTCCTTATAAAAAATGGTCTTAGGCTACATGAGACACCCTTGAACTGCATTCACACTGTGCAAACTGCACACTAGCAGCAATGAAAACGCAAATATTTGGTCACATCTGTGAAAATCAATAGAAAGTAAGACTTCAAATTGACTGTCTACTGTTATCTCCAGCTGGCTAAAAAGACACAATAGTCTTATACTTTCTATAAGTAGCAGCAATCTTCACACCAACACAGAAGCAACATTTCAAAATCAGCTAGGGCTGATTCATTTGAAACTGAAAAAAACTTACCATCTATATTAATAAGCAGTACCTCATCTGACTCAGTATTTTGTGCCTCTTCAGCTTCGCCTCTCCTACAAGACGTAGGTAAGCCAGTGAGAAATCGTAATCTCCTCACTCATTTCATAGACAAAATCTACAGGCATTCACCTCACACCTTATGCCATTCTTCCTCATACCAGACCCTAGAGCATGGTGGAATTGACGCCTCTGAAGGACAACACCTTGTGATGGTGAGGTGAAATGGTCAAAATCCAGCGCCAAGTTAACGCTACTTTCTTGGCAATTCTGTGTCATAGTCCGAGAAAGCTGGGTCACTAAAGCAACAAAGAATCATATTTTTAAAATGTCATCTAAAACGTTTCAAAGTTTCACTTCTCCAACTTTGTTCTTTTTTCATTGGCATATCGACTCGAATTTCCAAAAGATTTCTTTTCCAGACCGCGCTAATAGATATTTACAAGTGCACATTTAAGTTAACCTAGCTAAAAAGTAAATTGATGAGAATACCACGGTAACCTAGCTAGCTAGCTAAAACATTCTTCGGTTGGCCCGAATTTCGTTGCAAATTAAGCAAATAACTGAAGCAACGAGGCTAGTAAGCGACACAAAATCTAACCAACATTTCTCTTAAACAACTAAAAGGTTGTAAATCAGCACCAAAAGAAAGATTAAGACTGAAATTAATGGAAAACTGGTCCACAACCAAGTTTCAGTAATGTCGGTTAAGGCAGTCCTGCTGTTACCGTTGCCCAGCTAGCTAGCGTTAGCTAACAGGTAACGTTATTTTATTAGCAAGGTGCTGCAAAGACTGGCCGTTGTAAATTAAACGGTAACGTTACCTACTGGCCAGATTAATGTTGGTATAGTATACATAATCAACCTTATTACATACCATATGATGTAACCTTATGTTATGTTAGCCTAACAATCGTCCATGTAAACAAGCTTCCAGCAGCGAAGAAGTCAGTATCAATCAGTGCCATTTAGTGACTTAAGTTCTGCGCATGCGCTATATGCACTAAATTAAGCTACTGTTAAAGCGAAGTCTTTATCAGTACTCTTTTACACATTTTTCTTCTGTACTGTTTCTTTTATCTTCCCTTTTAGAAGCAGCCCAAGCAGAGGACAGCTGAAAGGCGAAATCCATTTTAATTTAGACTATTTTCACGAGTGACATCTGGGGTTAAATTCAAACTGCGCCCCAACCGACAAAGCCAATGTCAAAACCTTCAGATTGATACATCAATAGCGTAACTTAAGCCAATGGCCCCTTTAAGCGGTAAACCTACGCACTGCAGCTCTCTCGCCTTTCTGGGGTTTTCTGCGGAAAATATGTGAGCTTAGAGCACCACCCAGTAGCAGACCTGTGTACATGCAGCTTCAGAGCTTCAGTATTAGCTAGCTGAGTTTTAAAGGGGATTTTTTCAAAATTTCGGCATAGTTTAATCCCTGAAACGTAAACGAAGTAGCTGAAATTATGTACTGTAGAGAGACTTATTTCGACCTCCTTACAGTGGTGGTGATAGAAACCAGAAGTCGGGCACTGTTTACAAAGCAAATAGGGGAATTTTATTTACTACCAAAACCGCCCAGTGAACCTACGTGTGTCTATGGCTTTTCATATGTAACGCTAATAATAGTAAATAGTGATAAATTAGAAACAAAAATACGTTTTGTTTGGGGACTATTCCGCCATTTCCCCAATTTGAATTCATTGTTTTTATGATGACAAAAAAACATATTTACATATATAGCAGTTTAGCCCCGCCAATTTACGTTGTTATAAGGAGTATTTCAGCGTAGACTGCTTTTTTGAATGAAGAACACAGCCAATCACAAATAAAGGCACACTAAACAGTCTGTTTAATTCTAATGGAGACAGAGAGGTTGTAAAATGGTCATGTAAAAATTATAACTTCAAGAAAAAATAAATGCGAAACAAATGTAGGATATGGCCCCCTAAACTAGGAAAACAGGTACAACTCTAACCTTAAATGTAATAAAATCAAAGACATAGACACTTTTTTTACAACTGTTTATTTACTCAATAAAACGCAAAACAATTTATGCAAACACTATTATGGCCATGTTTTTTAAATTGAGACAAAACAAGTATGAGAGTGAGTCTCTATGCAGATGGGTGTAAAAGACTGTAAAGGCAGCACAATACTTCAGAGAGCCTCTGTTCCTTTCCATCACATCTGGGCCTTTTTAAAATCTCTCACTTCATGTTTAATTACAACAACAAAACATAGCCCATGCTATTCAATAGCAGAATAAATTAAATGTCAAAATGAAACACAGAAATGCAGTAAAATTAGCAGCAAAACCTCAGTTAAATAGCATTCGATCAGTAGTGTGACTAGTTTGATTAGTATCAAATACCACTTTTTAATCCCACCAGTAGATTTCATTATTTGAAACTATGTAAGCGGTACTGGATCATGAGCCACTCAATCAACTGAAACAAACCTCCATAAAATAAAATACAAATACAGCACTCATTCACTATCAATGTATAACATTCACATGCTCCCAATAGATATGCAGTAACTAACCACATGGTAAAAGAACGATTTGTACCATTCTTTCAGATTAGTTGTCTTCATTTTTTTCTTCTTTCTCAATTTCAAATGCCCCTTTCTTCTTTCTTTAGTTTTGCATCTCTCAGTGTCTCAGCAAATCCAAATGTAGAATATCTTTCTTGCTAAAATACACAGTAGTTGTGTTGACATGTCAGTAACATTTTGCAGAATTACCTTGTTATAGTTTAAAAGTTTGAGGACCACTAAATCATATCTGGAAGAACTGATATTTTGTTAGTGTAGCAATTCCCTGTTTGTGGTCATTGACTATGCCTCAGTCACTGCACTTGAACTGACTAAGCGAGACATTCTCAGGCTAATGAAAGGACATTACATGGATGAATGAGAAACCAAAGTACTATTCTAAAAGCTGAATGGAGCCAGTGCTGTGCCACAACAAAATATGCAGGAGACCTAAGGCAAATAGCTGCATTCCATGCAACAAATTTTTTTCCCTTCAAAACTGCTGTCTCACCATAATATGTACCGTTTTAAGTCCATTGTGCTACCCTCAGTCTCCGATGCCTTGTTTGTGTTCATTCTCCATGTCGTAATGTGAAACATGCTGAGGCGGATAGATTATAGTACTGTTGTTGCTATTCTCAGAGGGGGGCAGGGAGGTGGTAATGAGCCTTTGAGATGTAGTGTATGAACTGTAGTAGGAGAAGACAAACAGATACATAGTACATATGGGGCATCCATAGATACAGAGGTAATGGAGGAGATATCAACAGCGTGCAATGTGAGGAGTAGTTGAAAGTGGAGAAAAGGAGAGGGGGGGAGGGGACAGGAGAACAGCAGGCGCAGGAGAAAGGGAGGATGGGAGGGAGCGCTCAGTATTCATCCTGGTCCAAGTGGGCCTGCTCGTCTATGTCGTCATCCTCTGGCGGTGCGAATCCTTCCTGCATGACAGTAATGAGGAAGACAATTCTTTACAGTGATTTTAAATTCTCATGATTCTTTAATTATTGTACAGCGCTGGGAAAAAATCATAGGCCAGCCAAGGAATTTGTTTAACCCCTTTCTGCAGGCCTCCAAGTTGCCATTCCACAATATGATTAAAACTGAGTTGAAAAATATTAAAACTTACGGCTTAACTGAGGGACCTCCAGAACAGGCAAAAAAATTATTGCGAAATGGGGTTAAAATTCTTTAGCAATGTAGTAAGTGTGTTTTTGCTTATAATTTACCGTTAACTAATTTAGTGTTAAACAGCTTGCTAAATAATATTAAATAATATGTCCACATAATGTTTTTTTCAGTTTTACTGTCAAAGCACTGGGTTAATATGGGGCCTTAAAAAGCCAGTAGGCTACAGTAAAACAAATTCAGCTTTGTGTGGCATACTGTCTGAAAAATCTCTAAGTGACTAAGTAACTAAGCTGTAACAATGGAAAATACCTCATTTTTTTATATGTAAAGCACATGGGCATGCCTTTGGAATGTTAATTTAGTGTAACAGTCTGAAGTTTCTCCAGCAAGGGGTGTTTTTAGCACATCACTATAAACCCACACCAAAATGAGGTCATGAATGCATGTGTTTGCAGTGACATTAAAAGGAGTAATTAAGTAGTTTTCAAAAGATGTTGGGTTACTCAGTGTTTAAGTATTTAATAAGTTCATTTTATTAAAGAAGTTCATTGAAACAGCTAATGTTTAAAAAAAAACGTAAACTACAAATAGGACAGAAAGTAGGTCTGAGCTGCAATGGTCTTGGTTGGGAAGCGGGGGTGTTTTTTAACTAGAAAATATTAAGCCAATTATTTTTAGATTTTGCCCAGGCTTACATTAGAATACATATGTGTAAGCATTACTTTGTTAGTTCATGTCCCTGGTCATATTAAGCCTGCTAAATTAGGATTTTTGCTATGCAAATTAGCTTCTCTCTAACTTTTTACATTCTCATGCTGAAGAACCATTAGATGTCTTGACTCTACACTCCACTAGGGGGCAGTGTAGAACGGCTTGTGTTTTGGTCAGTTTCTTATCTGTTTAGTCTGGTTCAGTCTGGTGCTGGGCAGCAGCACAGAGTGCAGCTACAGCTCATAAAAAGAATCACAGAGGAAAAGCACAGATAAACAAGAAACTCAAGTTAAACTTGCACCCTACTCCTATAGATTTAATGTAAAGAAACGTTTAATGAAATTTAACCTTTATCATTAATTCTTTTCAAACCGTTTTCTAGCTAAAAGATTTGAGGTGAAATACAAAGTGACTCAGCTAAACACTAAACACCTTTCTTAAGGTCTATTTCATGTGACATATTAACTCATATGGATTTCTGGTAAAGGTCTGGGTTTACTGTAGTACAGTGGTAAGATGGTGAGTGGCAATACTGTTTCTGGTGGCGTCCACCTGACAAGTCTGGTGCACAGCAGCCTGAAGCCTTAAGAGTTCTTATTTATTTATTTACTTACTTAATTACTTACTTATTTACTTATGTACTTATTTATTCATTCATAATTGATATTATTCTAATATAATAATGCCTTACAAATTTTTATATCAAATTTGCCTAAATTGCCTGTCCCTGATTTTAAAATGCACAGAGATTAGGGATACCCAGGCATACCTCTGTTGCATAAAGGATGTCGACTATCCTAGTGAGGATGGGGTTGTTCTCGCTCTCGTGTTCCTGGCAGATCAACTCAATGTCTCGGAGTTTGCTGAAGTAGAAATCTCTTTCCTTCTCCAGTCCATCTACAGTCAACTTCAGCTCCATTAACTTCACAGAAGAGAAAAGGCAAAACAGGAGAACGACCAGGAGTTACCACAAGTGCAGAATGTAGGAATATAGGTCAATAAAAATAGGTCAATGCATTCTAATTGCCTTTTTTTCCTGTTCTAGAACTATAATGAGGACATCGAAAGGATTATTTGGAGGTTAATTTGTCTGTTCAAGCAGAGCATAACAATGGCAGAACTTCAGTGTTACATTGTGAAACTGAATATTAAGAGAATGTGAAACACTGCAAGGTAGAGTAAGACTTCCTTACCCACCCAGGGACTCTACCTGTTGATTAAGCTCCATGATCTCGGCGTCCCCTCCTCCATTCCGAGCCAGACTGGGGTTCTTCCTGATGGTGGTCGTCACCCTCTGTGGTGTGGGCATGTTTTTGGGTACTGTTGGCGATGTTCTCTGAGGCCCTGAAATAGGAATGACTTCAGTGTTTAGCCATAGCACATTTTGAGCATCCAGTATCATGAGGAAAAAATATTTCATGCAGTAAGCTGATGTAGCACTGTTGGAAAACACATATACATACTTCAAATATGTAAAAAACAGCAACATGTAATGATCTAGCCTAAAATCGATGCTTAAAGCTTGATTTAGATCAGCCTTTTAGTCTAAAGCTGTTGCATGGGCACTCTGCCATTGCCGTAACTTTGGTTATGCCCAAGACAGCTCAAAAAGAGAAGCTCATTAAAAATATAATGTTAATATATACAGGCAGTTTTAACCAAAGTCACGTTGTTATGAAACTATGTTATTATAGACTGAATTGTGGATACATTCCCAATCCAGCCCAATGACATCATGCTAAGAATCAATCATCAGCAATTTTTAATCTGCACGTTACTGTTTATATAAGCAGTAATATTATTTATAATTGTAAGTTCTATGACTTCCATTAGCTTTCTGACATCAAAACAATTGAGAAATGTGAGGTCTTGTTATTTGGAGTGAGGGATGACCAGAAATCACTCATTTGAGAGTAAGCCAACAAAAATCTTTGCAGTGCATGACAGTACATTGAGTTCAGCCCTTATGGAATGTTTATTCAAATTTGTCCAAACATAAGGTATTAGCTTGAGTCACAATTGTGCTCTTTTGTTAGTATGGGCATTGGGCAACAGTCAGATCTTTGTCAAGGATTTTCTCAATGGCACTGAGCTGAATATTTCACTGCAAGATGCAATTTCATGTGAAATTCATTGTTCACTATTATGGAAGCTTGAGCATGGAGCAATCATTCCGAAGACCGTGCACAAACCAGCTGCTTGCAGAGCAATCGACCAGTAGAAGCTCAGCAATGGATGCAGCAGAAGTGCAATAGAATGGTGGGGTTACCTGGACCAGTTCTCTTGGGTTTGTGGGAAAAGTGTTCACCTGGATTCGGGGGAGGAGTCATGTCTTGGCCCTGTCTAGCTTGTACAGGATCATACTCTTTGCCATCGTAGTTGGCATCAAAGAATTTCTTAAACCACTGGACGAATTCAAAGTTGTCCTGGAACTTCCCCTTTACAAGCTTTTCCACTGGGATTATCTGATTGGCAAAAGGAGAAATGGAGAGAAATTAATCCCACTGAGAGGATCAGGAGCATTTGTCTGATAATTACAAATAGGTATTTTAGTTTAGTTTAATACAATTACACAAAGAAATTCATGCAAAAGACCTTAAAAGCCTTAAACTATCACCAATATGAAATTCTCAATACTTCAGTAACAATCAAGCATAAAACAATGTACAAACACTTTATGAGTAAAACTATGTATGTTTAGAAGTAAAACTCTTATATGTCTTGTAATCAAATTTTGAATGATCATTGCTGACGATTTTCCTCATACATACATTTACAGGTAATTTGTATTGCAAGGTCGATGTGGAGAACTGAACCTACTTGTCAAGTTTAATTTATATATGTTAATTTTTTAATATAATACTGAATAAACAGCATCTAAACAGTTCACAGACGTGGCCCAAAATGATTTATACAAAATAAAGGAAACAGACTAACTTTATCAACACTCATCCTCTTGAAAGCTGCCTGAAGAACTTTGAAGTTGTGTATATACTCATGTTCCAGCTTTGCCTGGAATTTCACCTTCTTTAGAAAAATACATCCTGGGAATAACATGTCCATGAATTGACAATATGCTGCACCTATATGCAAACAAAGGTAAGAATGCAGGTTAATACAAATGCAACACCAAGATAAACATTGTCTTGATCAGGATATGAATCCAGGTTATTTGTCCTTAAGAAATTACTGCCATTTCTGTCTCTTGAACAACCCTTTTTCTGGCATTCATGGTAAGTGCTGTCAATCAGAATCACTCAGATCCAGAACTCAGGACTCCTGGACTCCTTTAATGAAGATGAGTGAATTTGGATAAAGTGAATCACTAGACTCACCTGAACATAACTGTTCTATTTTGGTGTAGCTGAGCTGTAGAGAATCATTAACCCACGCCAGCATATCATGTCGGCTCAGGTTCTCGTTGGTTACAGACGTGGAGTATACATTCACTGCCATTCCCTACAGAAGACAAAGCATGTAAAGACAAAAATAAAGCAGGACACCTGACGTCTGAGCAAACGAACTAGTGTTTGTAACCGATGTTAAGAAGGGAGTACCTCAGCACAGTTTAGAGTTTCTCTGACACGATTCAGCTGATCACTAACTGTCAAGCACAATTTGAGGTAGTGGGTATAAAACACAGAATGGTGCAGTGCTGCAGCACTTCTCACAGTCTGAAAACCCAGTTATACAGGCAACTTTCTCCTTTGTCATCTAAAGCAGTGGCCAGGGCGTCATCATGGAGGAAGAGCAGTAAAAGCAATCAACATTCCTTTAACTTTCAGTCCTCAGAAGTTAATCCTTCCAGATTAGACTGAGTTTATTATGTGCCTCAAAGAAGCCATCAAGCACTCACATCTGTCTCATCCAGCCTGTGAGCTACACCATTTAGCTCTTTGTCATCTGAACAGTTCTTGCATTCAATAAAAAAAATGCCGCTTCACAAAGAAGTGATAACTCTTGATTTTTTTGTATGTTTTAAATGTTTTTTCATACATAACTTGTTTTCAAAATATAGTATTTTTTCTGGCAGAACTTTTAACACATTTTTTTTATTTTTTACATTCTTAAGTTGTTCTATATAGCACCAATGTGTACCATTATAACGTACTATTTAGCATGGGAGCATAGGGATTTAGAAGCAACCCCCCTCAGTGAGGCTTATTGCTTTGAATTACCTCGCGTAGTAAATGTGGATCACATGTAACTATATGACCGTATCTTTATGTCTAATTATGTGATAGTTTTACATGGTTTAACACTGTTAATTTTACTGTAACGCTGGCTGTATTTGGACCCTCTCTCCTGTCAGCCACCCTGCCATCACACAGGTAGAGCACAGATTACAGTTGCCTTCTCACATTACTTACTCTTAAAGACTCTTCATAGACTCCTTGTATTCCCATTTATTCTGGCACTGATTATCCGCAAAACAGAAAATATTACTTTAAGATAAGCGGTGTTTTAATATGTTGGCCCGTTACAGCATCGATAAACTGCTAAATCCTCCTACATGCCGGGTGGCCTAGGCTTTCTGCTTTAGCAGCAAAGCCTCGTTTAAATCTTGCGCGCATTATCCGATATACTGAGAAAAACCCGTTCGCTTTGAACGTCGACATCAAACTAACCATAACAGGCTGCAGAAGAAAGTGTCATCGTTTATTTATGAGCAACCCAGCCAGTAATTACTACACTGACGGAGGGGAAGACAGCCCCTTGGGTCGCACCAGCACGGGCTTATTCTAGTACCGCTTGAAGCGGCGAGCCTTCACAGCCGCTCCGGGCCTTCAGACCGCTATGCTTTCTCTCATTGTTGTCTGGGACGCACTGTAACACCCTTATTTTAATCCAAACCCGCAACTCTAGACGCTATGAAAGGTCGAAGTGTCATACTGGCTCACTTAAAAAAGGACCACCGTAGTGGCAGGCCTCGCCGATAGCCCTGTCACCGCTGCTAGCTGTATCACTGACAGGACCTCAGATACGGCTTATACAGTAAACACTGACAAAGGCCCGAGCGCTGAAAGCCACCCATTACGACTGTGAAACGAACGACAGAGTCAAGGTACGGATATTTCCCAGTACTTACTGTGTTTTTAGAGGGCTGCTTTAGCCAATGTTCCAGATGTAGCCTATGTAACCACGTTCCTGTCAAAATCGCACGGCTAGGCTCCGCTGGTTAGCTGATGCTGCTGCGGTGCAGTGCTGGGTATCGCCACGCCCACAGCGTGCCTCGCCCCGCCCCTGATCCACAGACCAGCGTGCTGCTGCTGGAGGCCTGCTGGAGGCGCCGTTAATAACAACCACTTTGTTACAACCTAGTTATGTGGTAACTACGGCAACATAGGCCAAGTCCCAAACTGCTACGCACTGGACATATAGTACACTAGTTAGTCATTATTTCGTAACCTATATAGCACACTATATAGGGTGTAGGGAGCCATTTGAGATTTAGCCACAGTTTTACTCAATGCGCAGTCATTTGTGTATGCTTTGTTATATTGCCTAGACACCGAGCAACCTGCTATCTTACATTACCTTGTGAAGAACTGAAGGTGTGGGCCCTTTGTGCAGGGCTGAAAATATCCGCCCCTTTTGCCTAGAGTCTATTGCAAATAAGGTTTTAAAGCTCAGGGGATTTACATGACAAAAGGTTAAATGTATTCTGAGTATTATAATCCGAACATTTGTAGCTTAAAGGCATTCATCCACAAGTAAAATTACTATACATAGTGGAAATATATTTTCATTATGTGTTATATAAATGACCATGAATATATAACAGTTTTGTTTGATGCAAGAAGTGCACTACTAAACTCCACTGTAAGCTTGCATCCTGATAAATGCTGTAACTATGTCTCACAATCAGAAGTATCAGATGCCAGGTTGAACAGGGTTTATTTGTACTCATGAGAGGAACATAACATACATACAATTATAGTGCATACATACATTAGATTAAAAAAAAGGTTGAACAATGTACTGAATCCAAAAAGAAACAAAAACATCCACACATACATGAATACTCAGCACCAATAAAAATTCTATGTCTTACTATTTTTGCTGGAGTGATTTACTGTGACAGTTTTACTGCTTAGTCATTACTGTGAGTCACATATTCTCTACAGTGGGGTCTCCCAATGCTTTGAGCTAAACTACTGAGGCATGTGGAACAAGAACCAGTAAAAGACACATATTGCAGTGAATGTCTTTTTAATCTACCACCTCGGTTAAGTTTGTGAACTATTTGGCCATTTTCAGTGGTTATTCAGTCATTCATTACAGGGAAAGATTACATGTTTTTACTGTGTTTTACAAAGGGATATTACAAATGTGAAGTCTATTTTCATGACTTGCAAACCAGAGCTGCTCTCAACTGCACACAGTGTTAATTTATTAACGTGAAATAAGAATATTATTCTTCTCAGGAAAGAGTTGGAATGTGAACACTTGATGAAGCATCTTTAAAAACTGTTCCTTCTACTACTTTCAAACAAGTCCTGAAATAACTAACTACTTGAAGTGCTCATAAGACAACAGCTTAAGAGAATGCACAGGCGTTTGTGAAAAGCTTGAGAACATTATTGGCATCATCAGTGGAACCGTGAGCTCATTTAGGCATTAGGCAGTCCTAATCTTGACAGTGACTGCACTGTCAAGATGCAATCAAATACACAAGGGAAAATCAATCTTGATATGTGACACTGTAAACATGGCAATCATGTTCATTCACATTTGTGGGAGGTACAGGGCTGTGCTAAATGACTGTAAACACCCTTAGCAAATGTAAGAATGATTAGCTATCGATAACACTTTCAAATAGTGACACAATACAAGCCTACCGCACAGGGACACATCGTTGTCACCACTCACCATGTAGTGTGAAAAAAACATGCCAAGCCATCAACAAAAGAATAAAATAAATATACACCAATTCTTCATTTGATACACCAATTCTTCAACTGATGCTGTGGCAAGAACTAGATTTGATCACTTAAATTGCCTTTGAATCTCCCACAAGTCAACAGTCAGGTAAATAAAAAAAAAATAGAAACAAAAAACAAGTACACTAAAACGTCAAATACAAAAGCGATGCTGAGGTTGCAACTTAATATTTAGCTGAGGAGCGTCATCATTTCTGAAAACGTTTTACTTGACCACAACATGTGTACAGTTAAACAAATGGAGAGGCAGGGTTGTACTGTACATAAGTGCAATTCCAGAGATAAAACACTGAGGTAAACACAGAATCATGTGCCCAGACAATTAAAAAAATTTGGTTAAATAATTATACATTGTTACAGATCCTCTAGCCATGGTAATATAAAATTCTTTCCACTTTCTGCCAAATGTCCAAATTGTTGTTTTTTTTTAGAAATCTTTTAACTGTTGCATATCACAGTGCAGTTATCAGTATAATGATAAAGTAGACAAGATCAGGAGATAGCTTAAGTTACTTGCACCACTACCATACTTTATTTAATCAAACAACAGCCAGACCAGATTAACCAACTAAAAAAGAAAATGCCTATGTAATGCTTCAATAATCACATCTCTCACAAACATTCCGCACATGCGCTAGAAACACACAGATACCTTGTTTTCCCATTTTCCTTCAGCATATATAGTGCCTTATCTCCTCATACCATTAACAACACTTGTTTTTTTAGTTACGCTTGTAGCAAGTGACTAGGGTTAAATAATTTTGGTCGGATGTGAAGTCGTCAAATAATATTTAGGTGTTTAGTTTCAGGTTTAGTTGTTCAGTGGATGCAAAAATAGCAGCAACTGATGTTACCATATGCCACTAGATCTACCACCAGGAGGAGCCAAAATCCTTTGGGAAGATCTCTTTGGGATGTTATCATCAATCTGGACACCTGTCAGAAAGAAAGTCTTGTAAATTGCATGGTATCTGTTAATGGGTACCTACAGTTCATGACGTCACTGACGGGACAAAACCTTCTATCTTCAAAATTTGTACAGGAGAAAGAAAAAACCTCTTAACTTTAAATGGAAGTTAGAAATGGAACTTAATGGGAGAATATGGTTTTCCAAGTGATGGAAGATTTGTATTGGTACACTCATCATGAAATGTTAACAAAATGTAAAGGGCACCTGGCATTTTCAAATTTTCAAAACTATAAAGTGGAGAAGGTTTTGTCCCAACAGTGACAACATACACATTGTGCAGTAATAGCTTATATGCCGTAATAGCTGGTGGTGTCATATTCCAATCTGAAAGATCAGAGTTGATGGTATCAGAGATGATCAAGGTATGTTGTAACACACTGGTATTAGGGCTGGGTATCAAAATTCAATACCCTTATATTACTGACCGAATTTCAATAGTGTTTGTATCGGTGAGCCAGGAGACATGCATGTTCCAAAATCTAGACTAGACTGCTGATTGTGGAGTTCACACAGACAGGCAGTATCCACAACTTGCAGCAGTAAGACACATGTTCATAAGTCAAATGGTCCATGTCCTACTCTTCTTTGTATTTTTTTTTTCACTCATGTTCACATATAACATTTGTGTAGGTTTGCGTACCTAAAGCAGTCATGATTCATTTTTACAGGATCATTTTCCTTCTTCTCTTTATCCCTTACAATTAAACAGGCTGTTTTGGTGACTGTGCCTCTAAGACTGATATATGCAAAAGATCTCAAACCTCCGATTAACTGCAGAATTAATAGGCAGATAAATGTAAATGTGTTACGTTTATGGCTCTGATAGGCAAGGCTAAACTGCTGTAGACTGAATAGGCAGATAAATGTAAATGTGTTGTTATACGTGACATTACAAAAACAGTCAATTCTAAATGGACTGATTTTGCAGTTTCGTTTACATGTATGGACCATATGAACTGGGTAGTGAAAGGCACATTTAAAACTTTAGCAATGTTTATACACTATATCAAACTCTATTACACAAAAAGAAAATAAATTTAGGAAATTCCACAATATTGGACTTTTAACAAGTGGTTTAAAAAAACTTAGAAGCCGTTGGCCACGATGGATGATCTCAAAAACGCAAATTTATATTGGAATCACTGAGATTCAATTTCACTCCCTTCAGCTGGCCTGTAGTAGCTGCCTTTCATCAAAACACTTAACAAGTGTGCAGCTGCATACTTAGTGGTATGAGTAACAGTGCGTTCAAAGCTGGAAAAATTAAGCAGCCTATTTTGCATATTAGACTTCAAATATTAAAGTAACATATTCAACAGTATAAAATGGTAATAATAGTTGTTAGTACTGAAAACACACACCAGTTTGTGTCACACTATGCACGTTCCAAAAATATTTTGAAGTGATTTAACTGTAGCATTTTGTAGTATTCGGCAGCCTAGCATTTCCTAGCACCTAGCATTGGTTTGAGTAGCTTTAGTGTTCTCGAAGTGTGCAACTTTTCTACAAAAATGCAAGTATTGGATCAGTACATGACAGATACTTAATATTTAATATTCAAATCAGAATCTGGGGCCAAAAACAATCGCTAGCAGTTTCCAGAGTTAAACCAGGTTGGAGTACCAGATAAGCTGAAGCTGGACTCATGCAGGTCTCTCATTCCTCCGTGGCGGGTGCAGGGTCGAGGGGTCAAGTCTCCAACCGTAGGGGCCGTCTCCTTCTTTCCGGAGTTTTGCACTGCAGCCACATCCCCTGTGTAGGGAGCACGGTCCACTCCCTTCAGAGCCTGGCACTAATGGGAAAAGAACACACCACGTTAATCCTCTATATAGAGTTCAGTTACTCACTTCCAGGTCTGGAAAACCAGAGGACTGAGCCAACACACTTGGTTCAGCTACTTATTCAGCTACCTGAGGGGTCAAATTAGGTGCGCTAAAGCAGGGAAATCATAAACTCTGTAGTACTGATGCTCTAAAATAGCAGTAACACAATAATTACATAGTAATTACACATTTTTAACCTTTTTTGATCAGTAGCGCTCCTGCTTAATAAAACTGTAGTTGAGACACTTGTAAACTCTAGGCTTAAATTTACCCCTTTAATATTTAGTAACTAATATGAATTATTAAGTAATCACTATGAAACTAGTATGTAAGGTACAACCCCGTTTCCAAAAAAGTTGGGAAGCTGTGCAAAATGTAAATAAAAACAGAATGCAGTAATGTACAAATCATTTAAACCATATATTTAATTGTAAATAGTACAAAGACAACAAATCAAACGTTGAAACTGAGAAATTTTATTTATTTTTTA